GAAGAGCGACTGATTATCCGATGTGTAGCTGTGGCCTGGTGTATGAAATTTAGAGTCCGGGTGAATCAGTGGAAAACTCTATTCAAATTTCTGCGCAACTGGCATTCTATAAGTTTTCAACATGCGATACGCAGTTCTGGTAATTTTATACTAATCGTATATGTGATTGATTTTTATTATGAATCATAACTTATTGCAGATTAATCCTTGCAATCTTAATTCTGCACTGTATCCATGAAAGATTTTTTGACATGTAATCGGTCCCTCATGACATAATTACTCTAAGCAGGAGTTCTCTATTTTCGAAATAGCCGCATACTTCGAGTGAACGGGCATCGGTCATTATCAGGGGACAGAAAATTATTCCCATGCGGCTTTAGGTCAGATGACCTTGTTCACAATCGAAAGGACGACTGGGTTTTGTGTAAGAAAATTTGAACAATTACACTTATTCCTAGGGAAAGTTTAAACGGCAAACAAAAATGTGTCGAATTGACCTTTGGCTGAGTGGAGTGTAAAACGGCTTCTTGAATGGCGGCTTCACGGTCCTCCGTGATTCAAGGCCTCAGGCAAAACCCTACTGCTAAAATTACTACATGCAACAAACGGCTTGATCAACTCAAGGTGGTGGCAAATGTTATATACTTTCAGCTGTTCTTCGCCATTTCCTTTGTTCCTTTCTGCACTGATAACTACAGTATGCGTTATCATACACCGCATTGCCCATGGTGGGGACAGTGGAGTAACATTATCTGGCGCTGGTTTGATGATCAGAATTCCTCGTGCATTTTGGGGATTGAACGGATGAATCTCTGGTCGCTAGGCGGCTTCAATGAAACCATGGCGATCTGCAAAACATTCAGAGACGGATATTCAGTGTCCGGTGCTGAAATTGTGAAATATAGCGAGGGAAGGTATAGCATGAAATATTCAAACGCGATGGAACCAATTGCAATATTTGGATGTGCTGGGGCACCAAAGAATGACTGCAACGTTGCCTTGGAAATATCGAAGAGGAATAATCAACCAATACGCTTCGTCGGATACAACGAAAAAGGCTGGGTCGAGTTAGGACTTTACGATGACAACGAAGAAGTCTACAGAACGACGGCTGAGTATCTCATCGAACACTCAAAGAGACCGATATTCGTTACCGTGACGGACGATGGTGAAATACGTGCTACCATTTTCGATTCGGAAGAAGAGGCCATGCCAAACCATACGTTTTCTCACTATGTATTTTGCAGATCCGACTTCTACAGAGCATGCGAACTGGAATGCTTGCCTCATAACGAAAGTTTTGATATCTGCTATTACGAACCTGTTGAGGAGGAAGAAAAATCCAATTATGGTTTTTGCGACGAGTTTGCGCTCGGTCAACCATGCAAATGCGCATCTTGCGATTTAACTGAATGGACGCCGTGGATCTATAATGAAACTTGCGGTTACGCTTCCAAGAAAAGGTTCAGACCACCAAACTATCAACCTGACCTTATTTGTCGATATTACAAACGATACGAGTGTTGCCGCGAAGTTGAACAGGAATACATAGGAGCTTGTCCATGTGTTAGGAGAACTTGCATGAATGGTGGAACCTGCAAGGACCTCTTCTCCTACAACACAAGTCAGTGCCTCTGTGTTTTTGGATACACTGGAGAAAACTGTGAAAAAGGTAAGGGTTTTCGCTCGATATGTGTTGCAGGCATCTCTCATAAGGGCAGAGCCAGACTTCATCATACAATTAACCTTTTACACTCGTCAAAGTAATCGTAGACAACACACAGGCTGTTACTTGACCAACAGTCCATATGTGTACTCTGATTTGCAATTTATGACTACTGTTGCTGTCATATGATGTAAACAAATCTTATGCCACATCAAACAGCAGAATTTTGATGGGAAACTGACACATTGATGCTAGCCATATGTTTTTCTATGACACTATACATCCCCCACAGGTTACCAGGATGAAATTGCTCGTTCAATACGCACAATTTATGTACCAGAAAAATTTTGAATATTATTCCTATACCTCATTTTGTTTTTTTCCAAGCCAAGAGAGATACCACTCTTCGACTCTACAGGACAGATTTCTCAGACTGATGGACATCCGCGACTCGTCCCATTTGACTGATGACACAACCTCCAATTTGAATATAAGGCACAGAAAGCGTTGTGGGAAGTTGCATAGCTTACCACATTCCCGGCGTTTCACTAGCACCACAGTTTATGCAGCACACTCGAGCAGATGGTGAACCCTCCTTTGAAAATATTATCCTTTCTGTCCATTCTTATACTCTGATCTTTACAAACCTCATTGTGTTCCTTATTATTTGCTCATACCAGTTCCATATGCCGAATCACCTCATAATCAATGTCGCCATTTATCAACGCAGGTCTGAGGTGCATCAAATGGTACCCTCAGACATAGTAACCCTAATTCGTGATATCCCTTGATTGCCAATCGCTTCTGCGTTTGATCCAATCTTAGTTTTTCTCAAAGCCACATCTGCACTAGTTTTGCACACTCCTTCTGAAAGTCTTAGCACGATACTAACGAATTCGTTCCATGGCACCT